GGAGGCACACAACGTGTTTCGTCATGGGCAAAGCATACACATGTCGAGAAATGTATGACGGAACTTAACTGTCGGCTGCGTGCGTGTGAAAACCAAGAACCGAAGAATGGTATATTAAAGAATCCACTCTGTAGACGCAATTAGGGAGAACAAAAACAATGAATCTAACTGATTTGTTTTCAATAGAAAATCTGGCGAAGAAATATTGCAGACCAATCAAGACTACAAAGGCAGCATTAAAATGTTTCAATCAGAAAATAATTCCAAACACATTGCTTTATAGTTTCAACTCAATTTGCGCCAATCATCGGCAATAGCGGCTTAACGACAGGCGGCATTTCACGGAATGCATGTGTAGAAAAAGATGAAGGGGATGAATGAGCGTATTGGTCCTTTATAATGTTCCAATAAAATACACGGAACTCTCTCTTTCATAAATGTACATATGTTGGGTTGGATATAAACATATATAAACATAACAGAAAATGCGACGTCCTTCGGTTTACAGTATGGTTGTGATTTTTTCCGATCATTTAATATAATATGAGATCATTGCCTCTGCCATGTGCGTGTGTGTCATGTGGAAGGCAGAAGTAGAGCGGCTTCAGGCTTGGTCGATGTAATCCTGTACGAACACATGAGATCATTAAGAATTAACACATAGGGAGCGTTGAAGACATCCAATGCAATTTCAGGGCGGCAACTGAACAAAAATATTTTTGATGACGGTGTCTGATATTGACATATTACTGCCATATATTTAACTTGCCTCACATATACAGAAATTAGTATGCTCATGATAGGATAGGGTTGATCCAACTTTACTACACTAAAATAATGACCAGAAAATTAACTTTGAAGCCTGAGTTTTGCCACCCAATAATAAGAGAGGAAAAAATTTGTATCCGCCCAATGTGGGGCTCGAACCCACGACCCTGGGATTAAGAGTCCCATGCTCTACCGACTGAGCTAACCGGGCATTCATACCTATGCGGTCACCTTGATAATTATATCGTTTAAAAATCACGAACCAGGTCTGGGCTATTTATGTAATATATAGTACAGTTATACAGTTAAATACAGTTAAGATACGACTTTGGAAACGGGAATAACAAACCTGTTCCCTGTTCCTCAGCCCCTCCCCGCTCACGTACATGTAACGTTAGCAGTAACCGTGCCAGCTGCCCTCCTTTGGACGGACGCCAGACGGGTTAATTAAACACAAAATTTAGTGTCAAAGTTAAAAAGAGAAGTTGCGTTTTCAGTGAACATCGGATTGCCGTATCCTTACAGAGACCTGGTTTCATTCACCTTTTGAAGCTAAGAAGTAAGAATCTCTCATGGATTGCCCGAGAAATGGCGAGGAAAACTGCCCCCCTCCCCAGGCACTTTTACCGCGCCAAAATTCTCAAAAATTCCCGCCAAATAGATCACGTGACTGCTACGCGCCAACTCAACTGGGGTCACTGGAGGGCAAAGTTTCTGCCGTGGCTCACACATCCCCGCATACATATATCATATAGAAAACTTTAATAGCGCTATTAAATGTACACCTGATGTGCGGCACTATTTTGTATGTGACTTATCTTAGTGACTAGTATTCAGACCATAGAGCGGGGACGTACTACAAGTTTTTATCGTCAGGTTACGTGTGCAGATCTTCAAACCGGGTAAGCACGATTGATGGCGCGTTGTCAGATTTCATCGGTCTTCCCATTTTATAAGAAAAGAACATCATAACAACTCTTCCCGGTCTCTTCCACCTCCTTGATTCGTTTCTTAGATTTGAAATGAGAATCTCTGAGAGCCACTGGCCAGACTAGCTGACCCATACTCATGTATGGTGGCTTAAGGTAGCAAAAATACACCTGCCGCGCTGGGCAATTCGCCCGATGTGGGGCTCGAACCCACGACCCTGGGATTAAGAGTCCCATGCTCTACCGACTGAGCTAACCGGGCGCGACTTGGAAAGAAAAACCAAAGTTGGACTTTCTCCCTCAATAAAATTCCAATGCGTCAGCGTCAACTCCGTGAGCAACTTGGGCGTTTTATAACACATGACACGCACAGAACTTTCGCCAGGTGGCGCCATTGCAATAGACAGAAGCGACATGCAGATAACGACTTGGTAATAACTATTATCACCATGCTAGCGCTAGCGTGCCTCTGATAATGTACTCGACTCCCCTATAGATAGATAATTGCGGACTGACAGAGATTAGCAGTCCTTTACCAGCTCCTTCTTCGAACTACCACGGCTTCAGTATCCGGAGCTCCGCCCATTATTCCAATCTAGAAAGGCTCTTCGTCAAGTTAGCCTGGATGCCAGACCCAAAGCACACTGGACACAAAATATCTCAGCGTGCCAGGCTCACTGAGATATTTGTGTCCAGTGTGCTATGGGTCTGGAACCCAGGCTACGTCAAGTTTGAGATGAAGCATAATTGATATTTCTTCTTTATATTGATATTTATAAATAAATATTGCATTTTATACATTGTCACCTTTATTTTACGCTAAGGATAATATCAAACACATATTACTAATCTTGTGGAAAAAAAACATCCGCGGTGTTTCCATCACACTATTTGTTTACTCTCATTTACATATCGGTATAGCACAGAGCTTCTGTAGTTTACACTACACTAGTTAACTTCGCTCTGCCGTGCGCATGCATTGTTCGTGACTTATTATTTGCAAAGGTCGTTGTTGTTGGTTTGTTTATTTTTGTTAATCTTCTGTTTGGACACATGGGCAGTTTTACCCCTTAAAAATACCAAACATTTTGGCTTTGTCTGTAATGCCTCCACTTCAAGGTGAAATGATGCAAGATTTGATCGGGGAGTACTTTTTGACTATACCCCATGACTAGGCTTGTGTGTTTGCGTGCATGTGACGTTTGCTTACGGCACGTATACAATATACTATCAATATTTAGCGCTTCGAAGTTGAATGCGAGTCTATTTTTTTAGGGATGGCAGTCACATGCCATGACGTCAGAGACTGGTGACGTACACGTTGGTTGACCGATTAGCCTCGTTCTGATGCGCAGGTTGAACTTGATCTGACGCGCCACACAATTTACCCATAATTCTCAGATCGGGACGTGCGTGACGTGCTAAACGTGTGCCGTTTCAGAAGCGAGG